TAGAGTATTTACAGTATCATGGTATTTAAATGGGTATTTACAGTATTTAGAGTATTTACAGTATCATGGTATTTAAATGGCATTTACAAGCCATTTTTCACTCATACAGCGCTTTATAAGGTCAGACTGCGTCTCCAGAAAAAGGATTTTAAGTTCATGTAATCATGTAACACTGTCGTGGCTCCACACCTGTTTGTGGGTTTCTATGTTTACTGACCTTTCACCTCATCTGTGTTTGGGTCAATGAGCCTCTCTGGACCACAGTCCATGGCACTGTGAGCACAACGCTGGACACACAGAACATCATTCAAGATAGATACAGTCTAAATAATACAATTACAGATCATGATTATAGATGAGATTAAAACATGCAGACAGCACAGAGTTTGAAAGACTGACCGGAGGCCTGTTCACCATCCAGTACGCCCTCTCCTGGCAGTCAAACACCACGCGATCTGGCTTCTTCCTCTCTTTGCCAGCCCTGACACATGTACAAGCAGGTAAGTGGGGTATTAAGAGGAAATCATCTGTGAAAACCTAAAACCAAACAACAGAAGTGCCTACAAGACCCGTCACAGCATCAGGACCAATCACTGTACATCAGTGACCACGCTGCAGCAAACTGCACTTTAAGAAATAGTCTCAAAAACCAGCATCTGTGGTGGCAGCGGGCATTATACATTACGAGCTGTGATAGTGTCACTTACTTATACTGTTCAGCTGCTTGCATCACAATGAAATCCCATTTGTGGTTCAGCCATTCATGGAGGTGATTGTAATGTGCCTGTTTGAAACACAAACACACAGCATGGAGCAGCAAGGTGAAAATCCCTTTTAGTTTAAGAGTTTAATCAGCACGTGCTGACTGCATTCTTGTTATAACCAGGAGATGAAAGAGCCTGTGATCGGTGAGACGCCAGAGAAACAGAAAGGTGAAGAGGAGCATCAAAAAGACAGAAAGAGGGCCCACAGAGTAAAAGGAGCCACTGTGGCACAACCGAGGCAGAA